GCATTGTTTTATCACCGTTAAAGTGTTTAAAGCATGTCCTAGGTGACTGATGAATGTGGTATACTTTTCCAAGTGTTGAATTTTTAGACTGTTTTTTAATGTGTTCAATACCGATTGAATCATTGCCAGAAAATAAAGACATTTCATCTTTAAAGACACAGGAAAAAAAAAAACTAAAGATAATTTACTAGTTGAGAATTGATTAATATGTTTTTTTCAATACCTTTTACAATAATCCATGGACTTTATCAGTTAACAGTCTTAAAATACTAGATAAACAAGTAGAAGTATAAAGTAGTATTAATTAGTATCACAGAACAAGAACACACACATTTTGTTTTGTAAAGAACATTTCTGATGACAATACTAATCATTTATAATATATCACTATCAGAAAACTGTTGATACCATTCAAAAGGAAAATTATCTAACAAACATATAATAATAAATTATTCTCGTTGCCGAACTGCTTTATGGGTGAGGAGTTTACTAGTTTAACACAAGTTCACAAAAAGTGCAGATTTCTGTGAGAAATAGACACTTTTACAAGTTAACTGTGGAACACCCCTCTGGCTGTCAATCCAACAGCCAAGGAGGTTTGGTGCCTCCTTCTCTTAGCTCACCTGAGCTAACAGAAGTGGCATGCAGGCTCTACTTTAGCACCCCACAGATCTCAGATCAGCACATTCAGCTCCTCCAGATCTCAGGCCAGATGCCCATGTGTTTGAATATATCTACTAAAAAGTGGCCAGATGCGCATGTGTTTGAATATATCTACTAAAAAGTGATTTTATTATGTTTTTGTCCATTTGAGCAGTGGACATTTTAACTTTTATTTTGTTTTCTAATGTAGAAATGCATTTAATTTTAGTGCATTCATTTATCCCATTTAGGAACTACATAACACAGAGAATCAAGACCAAATTTGCCCTGAATTTAATTTTCATTCTTCATAAAATAGTTTATATATTATATATTGTATATATTAAAATATAAAAATTATAGAGTCTATTTTCACATCAATAGTAAACTCATATCACTGTTCATAAGTATTATGAACTGATAAGATGTATGCCAACCAAAGACATAAAAATACATTTCATAATTAGAAAAGCAGTGATTAGAGGTTGACTATGAGTACATATGAGTGAGAGAAAAGATATGAGTGTGAAAGAGAAATTAAGTCTTTTATTATTATTACTTATTACAAAGAACCATTTTTAGTAGAAATCTAATTTCCTTAGGTCTCAAAAAACTTTGTGTGTTCTCTCCTTGTGTTATCTGTATGAACGGCTTGCATCATATGCCATCAAAATCACATTCTGATATTGTATGTAAATCAAACATTAGTAATTTATCTCTAAAAATTAAATATATCTGATAATCTTTATTCCTTGATGTAGGCTATGTGTTTCAGTATATATTCCACACTTAGCAGGATTTATGTGTCATTTAAGTGGTTACAATTTAGCACCAGATTACAGTAAGTAATTCCTCATTTATTTTGAACCAATTCTAGTGTTTGGGTCAGCTAAGAGTTCCATTATATCCATTCTTGTTGTCTGAATTATCTAGTTCACAAAATTATGCATATCAACTGTTTAGTCAAAATAAACACATGGTTATGTCATTTAGCTTGTACAATAGTTCCTGTAGCAAAATGCATTTTTAATTGAAGTGCTTGCCAGAGTATTGAATGGCTTTGGGATTTCAAAAGATTCTATGTCCCTGCTGCAATTTAAATTGTTGGTAATTATTACATGATTTATAAGAAAACAAATAGGCCATCTGTTTAATATGCATTTTAGAATAGCAATTCCTATTTTTGATATTTCATATTCAGGTTTTTTTAGATAGATAGACAGACAGACGGACCGACAGACGGACAGACAGACAGATACATAAATAGATACAGACAGAAAAAAACAGTGTTGCAAAACTGTTTAGCAATGCATTTATTCTAAATGGTTTAATGTAATTAATTCTAGTTACTTAGGCAAACAGAGTTATTTGACAGCTGTTTATGGTCCAAGAGCCTGGTACATGTAAGGGCTGCCAGTCCCAAGTTATTTTGTAGAGCAAGAAGTAGATCAAAAAGTTCATACAACTGTATAGATAAATGATGCTCTACATAATTTTATGTCCATGCACTCTGCAAATGTAAATTGGCATTTAAATGCAAATAGTTCCCATCACCCTCAATGGGTACATAATAGACTTGTGCACAGCAAAAACAAATGCATATACATTATATATCCTTAATCCGAACTTTAAATGTCAAGTTCTATGTTGGAACGCAGACTTGAACAGCTACCTACCACAAGTTCATGACACACATATCACAGATTAAAGTCCACTCACTAGCGCTTTATTTTCACTCATCAATTACTAGTGCTATATGCTTTACTATTATATATGTGTCTGTGTGTGTGTGTGTGTGTGAATAAGAGTAAATGCTTTGCTTCTAACTTTCCCCACACATTATTGTATCCATAGTATATATAGTGCAACAGTCGACAATACTGCAGACCATAACAATGTAGCTACCAGAGAGATATTTTTTCAAATTGTTTTTTTAGGAAAGTCTGTAGCCAACTCAACTCAACTCAGTGTTCAGTGGATAGACCCCTAAACATTTCTGAAAACTCTAAAGCTCAGTGTTGTTGTAACATTGAAGCATAAATAATCCTTTAGCCTATATAAAACTAGAGAAACGTTAGATGTATGCTATTATTTTCCTGCATATAATACTAGAGATAAATTATATTTGTATATATATATATTTTTTTTATAATTTCTGCTGTTATTCAGGGCTGTATTATGTTTGTTTTTCATAACAGGCGATGCATACCAGTTTTCCTCCATAATTTCACACCTGCCAATTTCCACAATGATTGCTTACTAGATTACAGCACACCTCTCAAACCAACGCCATGAAAGGTTTTCAACACAAGGGTATATATCGCTTGTGAAAACTCTTCTTCTCCTCCCACGTTAAACCTTGTCATTTATTTAAACATTCTTCATACATTATTTTAGATTATCTACAAAAAAAAAAATTACATTTACATTACATGTGTTTATTTGTTGTTTCTCTCAAAATATAAGTCTTTCTGAGCTTCTCAGAATAAACACGTCACAATTATTAAAATTAGCAATGTAACATTACTTAATTCACTGCCAAAGTACTATATATTATTTCCTCAAAATAAATCCCAATAAATCCCATATAATATTATTATATTAGTTCATTCACTTAGTAGTGAGTTTGTGAACAGCTAGCAATAGAATTTACAATTTGATTGAAATTTTTTTCCCTTATTTTTAAAATGTTCTTAAATTATGTACATTAGTCATCAATGTATCACAAGTCACTGTTTGATTAGGATATCACTTGATCGACATTTGGTGTTATTGCTGGGTTATGCCTTCTCCAAGTACGAGTCCTTAAAAATATTGAATATGATGATCTTGTATGTGAAAGATCTGAAAACCAGAGATTGGTCAAGGAAGCATAACAAAACAATATCACAGTAACAGACTTTGAAGAAGACAATAACAATACCTTACATAGTGCCACACACAGAGTTATACAATAGGTAAAACAAGACAACATTTTTCTATCAAAACATACAAAGATACAAAGGGCACTGCTTACAATCTAAAATGTTGAGGGATACATACACAGAAGGAATCAAATTACTGATTATATTTTCTTGATCATTAGCAGGTATTGTCCAGCACGTCTTTGCACCACCTGTTACTATCCTATTCTCATACTCACACCCTGATTCTTGCTTACAGGACTTCTCTGGGTCTCCACCCTTATTATAGAATGTGCTACCATGCCACATTCAACTCTTTCTGTCTTTACACTCCTTGAAAAGATCCCTCGCAACACACTTCTTTAACCCCTTAATGACCAAACTTCTGGAATAAACAGGAATCATGACATGTCACACATGTCATGTGTCCTTAAAGGGTTAAAGAAGCCTACTAGCTCACTAGCTCACCCCATAACTTCTCATCCATTAGAACTTTTCTCTGCCATCTCCAAATTACTATTTCCTCTACTTCCTCCTCTCAAATATCTATCCTATTCCTTTATGTATACAAAGATTATTTTATTCCTTTACTTCCCACTATGTTCCTCATTCTTTTAGATTGTGTGTTTGTTTGGACAGGTCATTCATCACTTACTGTTCGCAAATGTTAACCCCTTAAGGACACATGACATGTGTGACATGTCACGATTCCCTTTTATTCCAGAAGTTTGGTCCTTAAGGGGTTAAACACGTTTTGTTAGATTTCATTGTTTGAGTTATTTTACCTATGTACAGTGCTGCAGAATATGTTGGTTCGACGTAAATAGTTGTAAAATGAGATACAACCAATTACTATTTCTGAACTATAAGTATTCTTTAAGAAAGTGATAGGAAATTCCTAAACCAAGAATAAAAGATTGCTGCTCTGATGCTCGTCTTCAAGAATTCTCTATGGCTGCACTGTAACTCACTTCCTTTCTCTGTGAGACTTTCACCCATTCTCCACTTCTTTAAAAAATCATTAAAAACTTGTCTTCGGGAAAGCATATACATTAAACTGTTAATAGCTCCCAATTGATTCCTCTCCTGCAACTGTCATTAAAAAAACACACAAGTCCTCAGTGAAAATGATTCTACCAAGCTACTTTTCTAACCTCCACTTACCTTTTGTGTCACTTTACCCCACTCCCTCTAGCATGTAAGGTCCCTGAGCAGGGCCATCAACCCCTTTGTTCCTGTGTGACCAACTTGTCTGTTACGTTTGTTAGTCTACCAATTGTACAGCGCTGCAGAATTTGTTGGCACTATAGAAATCAGAATAGTAATAATAATGAGAAGTTTATAGAAAGCATTAATGACTGACTGAGTAGCCTAATTTTGCATGCAGCATTTAGTGTCCTTTTTTTCAGTCAGTTAAATTTATTAAATTGATAGTATGTCCCCAACCAAGTCCTCATGGACCACCAACAGTACAGGATTTATGTATTTCCCTCTTTTATTCCAATGAAGATACCGACAAAACCTGGACTGTTGGTGGCCCATGACGACTGGGTTGGAGAACACAGTTGTATAAGATGTTCATAAATATGTACAATTTAAGTTTTTGTTACTGAAGAGTGAGTGCAAATTTCCTTCATCTAGATTAATGGTTCCCAACCCAGTCCTCAGGTACCCCATAACAGCCTATAACAGTTCAAAATTTAGGGATTACCCAGTTATGTCTAAGGTGTTTTTAGAAAAAAAAAATTACAACTGGGTAATCACTAAATCCTGGCCTAGTAGGGAGTACTTGAGAACTGGACAGATAGATAAACATATAACTGCAAATATAGAAAAAAATCTGATTATGCAGATTTATCCTTTTATGTGTTCTCAATAGTTTGTCCAGAGACAGTAAGAAATAATGAAAGGAAACTAAATTAAAGCTTTAAGTCAGGGGTTCCCAATAGGTAGATCCCCAGATGTTGTGGGATTATAACTCCGATGATGCTCTGCATGTCTTTAAAATGCCTTTAAAATGACAAAGCACCATAGACCCTGTAATTTTAAAGCATCTGGAGATCTACCTTTTGGGTACCCCTGCATTAACTTATGACCATCAAGGTTGATCATCACTTTCTTCTTCTCGTTCTTTACTGGATATTACAATTCTAGCATCTAGGTAACTAGGATTTACAATTATAATAAAAACACTATAAATAATAATAGACACATATCATACCAAAACTTTCCAAAATTGTGAATTTAGAATATATGTACCACAGTCCTTCTTTATTAGGTATAGGGACATTTAGATTGTGACATTCAGTCCGTGATATGATGTGGCAATATTTACAAGTGTCGCTAGACAAAGTCAAAATGTGTAATGACTATTTGTAATGTTTAGATGCTTAGTTCTAAATTGTTTAGAATAATAGACATTTTATTATACCCTACTTCAACACAGAAATGTACACACACTTTTGTTAACATTATCCATCCATAAAATACAATAATGTAATTATTAAATCCAATTCATGTGCCTTCCATCTCTTATCAATAGCATTTAGACACACAATTTCACAATAAACCATTAGATTTAGACTAGAGTGAAGTTGAAGAGGAGCTTAACTAAACAATCATATACTAATAGGGTACCCCTTTAGATTGTAAGCTCACAGGCAGGGCCATCTACCTTTTGTATCGGTCTGTTTATATTGTATTGTTGTCCCAATTGTACAGCGCTGCAGAATATGTTGGCGCATTAAACATGCCAGTAATAAATAAATTATGTTATTGAATACACAATACAGAGTGGATCAACGTCATACTAGATATAGGCATATTATACATTGTGGAGTACAAGTGATTACGTTTAGTAAATTAGTTTCTTCACTGTTCTGATGTTTGACAGCCATTTGTACAATTCAATCATTTTATTAAATAATGGAATTATATTAAATATATTGTTACTGAGACTTCTAAATTGAATGAATGTTATATTAGTCATAAATATTAAGGACATACATGCTAGATAACACTGTTCAAGATGACACACATAGTTGGATTAAAGGATCACTATAGGGTCAGGAACAAAAACATGTATTCCTGACCCTATAGTGTTAACACCACCATCTAGCCCCCCTGGGCCCCTAATGCCTCTATAAATATAGTAAAAATCTTACTGTATTCAAGCTTGAAGCTGTAAATCTGCATGCTGTTAGACTCAGAAAAACAAGCAGTCTGCTGACATGTGGTAGCCTGATCCAATCACAGTGCTTCCAAATAGGATTGGCTGAGACTGACAAAGAGGCAGATCAGGGGCAGAGCCAGCATGATTTAAACACTGGCCAATCAGCATCTTCTCACAGAGATGAATTGAATCAATGAATCTCTATGAGGAAAGTTCAGTGTCTGCATGCAGTGGGAGGAGATACTGGATCACAGGATGCTCGTGCACAGAAGATCTGAGTGGATGGAGGCATATTATGCCTCCAGCAACTCAGAAGTCCCTCTAGTTCACTCTGAGTGACTGCAACTGGAGGTGTTCCTAGCTTTCAATGTAAACACTGTATTTTCTCAGAAAATACAGTGTTTACATGAGAAAGGCTGCAGGGAGCTATAGTTCTCACCTGAACAACCTCATTAAGCTGAAGTTGTTCAGGTGACTATAGTGTCCCTTTAACAATTTTCAAGTTGCTTGTAAAATAATGAGAATAGCCCCTGTGTCATTCACATACACATGTATACTCAAATCTGAAAAAAAAAAAATGTATTTTCCCAAATAATAGATTTCTTTAAACCCAGTGGTGTGAATATAATTGCTACAAATGTAGCTTCAATGTGCATTGAGCAGGGTGAGCATGAAATAAAGTGGAAGGCACACTGTGTGTTTTTTTATTTACTTCTATTGATTCCGCTGAGCTTATGGTTCATTATAAAATGCTCAGGTGAATTTGTACAAGGTAGTGTTATAAAGGATAGTAGATGATCATTGCACATCTTGTCACAGATGGTCATTAGGGCACATTCATCTTTTTTAAGCAGCGCTGTGCTCAACAGAATGACATTACCAACAAATATTAGTGCAATTTGCAAGGTAATTTCCTATTCTTTAGCCCTAAACCCGATGACATTTTTGAAAAATGAATTATTGGCAGCATCAGACTGAACCTGGCATACACTAGCTTCAGTATCATTCTTACACAAAGGTGAGCCATTTTATCATGTAAAGTAAAAAAAAAAAATATATGATTTTTTTTTTTATATATACTTACAAAAAAATTCACATTTTTAGCAGTCCAACACTAGTGTATTTTGAATAAATGTGCAGGTTCCCAGGAATTAATTTACTTTTTTTTTAATTGTTAAAAATGTCATTAATGGGTTAAAGACTAATTTATTATATGTTTTTGTTAAAATGTAATTTCTATATTGCAGGTACAGCCTTAGGTCGATATCAAGATCTTTTATAACTCCATATATGGTTACAACTCTCTTGCAATTCCAGCAAATTGTTTCCTAATAAAAAATATTTTTTTTGAAGCTGTTTGTCAAATACTCACATAAGACATTGACATCATACATATACTGCCATAGAAAGTCTTTAATTTGTTTTGTAAAAAAATTGTTATGACAAACTTCATAGAAATTATAGCTATGTTTGTTCCTCTAAACGTTCTGCAAAGTTTTTATAGGCATTCTATAGCTTGTAGTAGAGCAAGTTACTATACTTATTATACTCATTAACCAATAAACTATTGGAAATTGAAATTGAAATTTAAAAAATTTTGGTTAAAAAAACCTTCATTGTATGACTCTAATGAGTCCAAAATACTGTTTGGATTGTATATGAGCCCTAATTAGTAAAATCAAGACCCATACTTTAAATATTTAGAAATATGTGCCCACTAGCACAATGTTTATCCACACTTCCAGTCCCTAGGTCAAGATCAATCTACACCCACTAGAAGCATAGCAGAGTCCCGCAATGCTGAGCAAGCTCCTCACATGTGGTCCAATCCTCAGTCTCTGTAACGCCCAACCTGCAAGGTAGGCCCTGCACCATTTCTGTGTGCAGTGGGAGTTATCGCAATGTTGGGACCGGTGATGTGTAGTGTGCAGCAGCATCTGAAATTTCCAGTATAGTTGGGATGGAGTGGTCACGCTGAGAGATTGTGAAGGCTTTCAGTCTAATGCGGGGCCCTCTTCTTGAGCAGAATCCACTGGTAGACTTGCACCATGTTGGCTCCGGAACTGAGGTATGTTAGTGGTTTGTCACTTGATTGTTGGGAGACGCAGTCTGCTGACTAGCTTCACCCTAAAATCTTCAAATATTTTTATAGTCTAGTCACTCCTTGAACTCTAGTCCCCATTAACTCAGTGGGCTCATGGCATTTTAGGTGGGACAGCACATATAGCCTCTCTCCAATCCTCTAGTCAGCAGGACCCAAAAATAATGGGTGCTAGGATAACCCTCACTGGCAAGGGGGGGGGAGAAATGGGGCTCAAACCTCAAGGAAGACTAAGGGCAGAAAGATAGACTGCTTCCCTCACACCAACATCACCAGGTAGGCAGTAGGTAGGCCCCATGACCATACCTCACTCTAACTTAACTGAATGGTCTTCAAAAATTCTTATAGGCCAAGTCTGCACTCTATATTGGAACAGAGTGGGCTAAAATTTGGAAACCGATAATCCACTAACTTGGTAATAATCAAGTTTCTTTCTTTTTTTTGTCAATCTGGGTTTTATTGAGGATATGAATAATCATTACAGAAACAAGCAAAAAGAGTTATAGCACAGCGTATAGTAACAGTGAATATTGCAACAAACTCGCACAAAACTCTAAGAATGCCAGTTAAATAAATAAATACAGTCCAACAGAGGAAAAGGTTCATTGGGTATGTATGTTTCAAAGTTCCAACAGATGGGAAAATAAAATCACACTTCCATAGTGCTCACTCACAGATAGTAATCTCCATTAATGGAGCCCTGTGATCTCCACACCCATGAGGGTCACTTCAGTGCAATGGAAACAAATACAAGATGCAATGGATTGCTGGTCACTATTACTTCCTTGTGAATCTCACTTTGCTCAGCCCATAGGCTTTCACTACAATGTATACTCATTTACAGTTATCATTTATTTTGATAAACACTAATGCTTTATTCTAATCTATTAATAATTCCTTAACAATGAAATTAGCAAAAAAACATGTAAAATGGTAAAAATTATTTAATTAATCTGTGAATAGTGTTGGACAATATTTTAAAACTAAAATAAAAACTGAAACTTTAATTTAACTTATCTTACAAAACAGTTGGATTGAAAACATCAAAGCTACAAAAGAATATAAAACAAAATTGGAGGGATAGTACAAATGAAAATATATATATATATATATATATATATATATACAGCGCACTCACCCATCCATTAAACAACAACTTCAAAGCTCACAGAATTTATTAGTTTTTTTTTTTTAAATACCTAATTTAGGCAAAAATAATGGGGGTTTAGTTACAGAATATGATCATACATTGCATAAGCCTGCCACAACG